CATTCCTCGTGGAGAAGCAGAACCTCTTTCAAACCATGAATCCTTAGTTCTATTCTATGCAAAAAGGAAGGGGGAACAAGGAGTAAAGGAAGTGGGAAGGCCCAAGAAACGAGCCACGCTCATGCCCAATGCAGCAACCCACAGCTTGGAATGATGCTTAAATGCAACCTTAATCTTTCAGGAATTTTAGCCTTTAAAGGAGAAGATGGCAAGGAATGTGACTGATCCCTTTCACATTTTTTCCCCTTTTTTCCATTTTGCTAGTATACGTTCCAGCTATTTTTAGCTAACTTAATAGCCCCTTTCTGTAGGCACAGTATTGCACATATATTTATAGTACTGAATACATGATATATGCACAATAACTATAATGTACATTGATCATACACCAAAAATGTCTCCCTTGTGACAGAAAGTCAAGAAAATCACACCCATTACCTGCAGGGGGATTATAAACAGAAATAGTCATTCTTTAAAACTGTCTTGCAAAATTTCACTAATGTGACCCATTTATTAAAAATTGAAAGTGTCCTGTTTGCACAGAACTCCACTTTTGCACAATAGTGGAGTAACTGGTACACATAGTACCTATTTACTCTAAAGCAGTTAAGTGGAAGAAAGCTGCTTAGCAGAAAAGTTAACAATGACTCCACACCTCACTACTGTATTTTAACATGAATCTCTTCACACCAAGAGGGAACAATCTCTTTTCAAAATGACAGGAGCAGAGGAGTTTTGAAAGAACCATTTTGTAAGAACAGACTAATCTCATGCTGAAAAGTACAGCAAACAGGAATCTTTGACTGGCCCATGACCAAGTCGGTGAAAGAAAGAAATCCAAGATTATCTATCACACCTTATCTTGAAAGCACTTGACTGAGTGAAATTTGGAAGCCCTCCCATTCACCCCATTCATCCCCTTCTCCTTTTCAAACTTCTCCCCCAAACTTACTGTGTGTCCACCTTACCAGTGTACAATGAACACTTTTCACAGTTTAATAGAACAGGGAACTTGCACAGTATAAGTTATACATGCAAAAATAACCAAATCGTGACTCAGAACATAGCTGTGGATTAAAAAAAACTCCAGAAAGGTTAACTTCTTCTCTAAAGTTTAGTTGCACCAATACGTTGCATATCTCAGACGACTGAACAATGGCTGATAGCAATTCAGAAACATGTTTCATTCACATGGGACTATATCTGCATACCTAAATACAGGGCTCTAGTCGGGGGGGAGCTCTCAGGTACGGAGCTCCGGAAGAGAACCTCTAGGGGGCGGGGCGGTCACGTGGGGAAGCCCCGCCCCCTTCTTTACCCCGCCCTCTGCTTCGATCCTCATTCCGTTTGGGAATGAGGATGAAGCAGGAGGGTAAGTAGCCGGGCCTTCTGACACACTTCCGGTGATGTCAGGGGGCGTGGCATATGCAAATAAGTTATGCTAATGAGTTATGCTAATGAGCTCCGGCAGCTCTTTTTCTACAACAAGACCCCTGCCTAAATATCTCTGGCAAAGCCCACTTCCAAAAAGAAGGATACTTGATTAGGTAGAATCAAACCCAAGGCAACTTGACTACCCTATTTACCTGAAAGGAAAACTAGGCCTTTTCCATAAATGCTGCCAAGAAAAAAAGGAGCTGTCTTAAATTCATATACAGGTTACAGTTATGTATAGTAGTAATACATTTATGCATAATCTTTTGGGTAGATTGTTTTACATTTGGGGTTGCCTTCCTTTCAGCTAACTACCATAATCTCCTTGAGGCTAAGAGTCAATTCACAAGTTTTTGTCCAGCTGTGCAAATCCAATCATTGCCAGACATGCGGCAAACCTAATGTATAATCTGGGCCATCACAGACGCAATATAAAGAGTTCTGGTAATATTAGAACAAACCCATCACACTAAATTACTCTCCTTCTTGCACGTTCCTACTACTCAATTTACACCAATTAATCTCTATGAAAAAATAACACCATTATATACCATATATAAAATTAAGTGGTACAAGGATTACAACTGTCACAACAGCTGTATTACCATGAAAATATAAGAATGCTTATCAACTTGTTCTCAACTACCATCTCAATAAATACTACACACCACAGAAAAAGTCTAATAAAACCAGAACAGGATTATAGAATCCAGCAGGAACAGACAGACACTGTTCCATACCTTTCTGGAATCCAACACGTCTGTAAATGCTGACACACAAATTATTACTTTTATCAGTGCATCTTGCACTACAAATGCTGTTGGATACTGGACTAGCGAAGTCTTGTCTGCCTCCTCCACATGCTGGAAAAATACTCTGTTCTATCATGCTTTCTGAAGTGGACACAGAAATCGCCTTTCCTTTAAAATGTCCAAAGAACAACAAAACTCCTTGAAACTGAAAGTATAGCTACAAAGCTTCTGTAGTTAATTTTAGAAAACAAAGATAGTACTACACAAGAGAAATTCATTTTTGTATTAACAGTAGGGCTGCCAAGTGGGGGCGGGGGGCGGGTAACCCCCCGCTTCGGAGGGCCGATTTCCGCTGGGCCCCGGGGGGAACTCCGCCCCCCGAAGCGCAGCGTGGCTGCATCACCGGAGGTGACGCAACCACATCAATCACGTCGGGGGTGTGGTCCCGATCGTCAGAGGGGAAACTCTATGGTTTTCCCTCCGACGATCGGGGCCATACCTTTAACGTGATCAACGTCGCGCGTCACTTCTGGTGACGTGCTGGCGGCGTGCTCGCGCACTCGAAGAATGGCTCCCGGAGCCCGGCGAGGCTCCCCCGTCGGTAAGAAAATTTGACTTGGCAACCCTAATTAACAGCCGGGGATACAGAGAATTATTGAATTTTAAACAGACTCCAAAATAATTTCTTCATTTTTTCATCATTACCTTATATTATCATCACAACAATAATGTGCTGTTGAATCACAACAGACTCAAGGCGACCTCATCCACAGGGCATTCCAGGCAAGATGAGATGAGCAGAGGTGGTTTTCCACTGCCTTTCTCTGCAGAGCAGCCCTGGTCTTCCTGCTTGATCTCCCATCCAACTACTAACCACAGTCGCCCCTGCTTAGCCTCTAAGCTCTGACAAGGTCAGGCGGCTAACACAACCTTTATAGTAAAGCAATCTTTCACTATAGGGCATGGGTATTTTGCTCCATCTAAAGGGAAGTTAATTACAAATTTGTTTATATCTCCATTTCATACTGTTTCAATGTAGTCTTTATTTTAGCAACAGCAGAGAGTTTGCTCTAGTTTACATAATTTCTTATGCAATCCAAAAGAATGAATACACACACACAAACATATATCTCCCCTCAATTGAACAGGAAGTTATAAACATTTTAAGAGAAATGGAAGCAGAATAAATAATGTAGGAAGACTAAGCAAGGCTCTCAAGTGTTTTCCAGTGATGTTAAGGAAAGAGCATTCCCCTTTGGGATTCTCACCCCATCAAGATTTATCCATTGTTACTCTCTGCTAGTTTGTTGTACTGGTATTTACTGATACGACCAGAAGTTGAACATTGTACTTAGCACAACGGGTTGCCACTAGGCAAATACACAGCATACAGGCAGGTTTTGTTCTAAAGAGCTAAACAGGCAGACAGAGGCAAGTCAAGAGGAAGGAAAATTAACTTCTCTTAAAAAAAACAACAACCAACAACCATGTTGGCAAAGTCCAAATGGAGCAAGTGAAGAAAAGCTTCTCCAAAGATCAATTGATATTTTAGAGTAGTGAATAGTAGAATGCAATGCAATTTTGGAATTGTAGATTGGAATGTATTTCTCTGGTCTGGGGACAGGGGAGATAACTCTACACTGCCAATCACCCCCCTTCAAGGAAGAAGACGCTGTAAGGTCACCTCCATGCTTGAGAGGAGACAGATGAAATGTAATGGCAGGGTCTCTCAGTTAATTACTCTCAGCATTCCACAATTAAGGATACATCTGTCCATCAATCTCCAATTTTGACATATTTATTTCCTTCATTGTGGCCCCCCCCCCAAAATTAAACCCAAACAAATTGTAACCATATAAACTAAGCATGTTGTTCCTCTTTGGTCCTTGAATCTGTTAAACATCTTCATTATGTTGTATACTAATATACTGCTCACCCTCTACCTATAAGTATGGACTGGTAACTTCTATTTCATTGTACCTGAAGAAGTATGTGTGCACACAAAAGCTTATACCTTGAATAAAACTCTGTTGGCCTTAAGGTGCCCACTGTTCTCAAACTTTGTTGTAGATTTTCCAGCAGTCATAGTTTTTCCTAAAACAGATATGCCATTTACAGAGGCCTTGGCTGGCTCAGCAGTAGAATACATGTTTTCCACCAAGAAGGCCCCAAGGCCTTTCTCTGTCTGGGACACTGGAAAGCCAGTCAAAATATTGAACTTGCGGGACTAATCATCTGATTCAATAAATGGCAGCTTCATACATTCAAGTGCTCTCTGACTATACATTAATACCACTTTCACAGTATTTACTGGGCCACCAAATAACATTATGCAATAGTGAAATTACTTTGCACAGACGTTTGGAATCAGAGGTTAATTAGAACAATACTGAACATCCTCAGGAAGAACACACAGCACTGTACAAGTGCCATGCCACGCACTTGCAAGGTACAAACATACACAAATCACAAACTAGTTTTAACAAGTCCCTTGGATTTCAAGGACAGCTTGCCACACTTCACAGGACTGCTGTTTGTAGAAAACACATCTGAAGTCCCTTGCTTAGAGAAGTAATTCCTTAGTCCTTTGGATCCTGGATCCTTTTCTACAATACAGGCTTGAAGCTTGGCAAACCTATGTAATTATACAGTTACAGTATTTTCCCAATAAATATGGGTGATGTTATGTTTTAGGGGCTATTTAATGAATACAGGTCAACTTAATTTTCGGTATCTGTCCCAAAATGGCTATGTACAGGATTAGCAGAGTGCATTTTTAAACTTTAAACACCCCCTGAAAGAAAGAGAACTTACCTTTCTGCCTTTTCATTTGTGGAAAGCTACTGATAGTGGTTGCTTGAACTATTTCTACTACAATCTGATACCTGGACAACAAAATAAAATAAATGCCTCATTTTTGCTGTACAGTAAAATGATTCCAATACTGGAGGCAAGGACTGCTAGTAAGATAAAGTAGTACATGAAGTCAGATAATCACTAAGGCAGCATCTCTTAAGGTGGCAATGTTTGTAACCCCCCTTGAATTTCAATGAGAAAGGGGGGGACCATAAATGAAGTAAATATTGTAGCGCTTTCTGAAAAAGACAGGCTACACATGCAATAATCATCAAGATATTAACAAGACTAACAATGCAATCCTAAGCAAAGTTACATTTTTCTACGTCTAGCAAATAGTTCATATGTTATTTTGAATGTATTTACATTTTCAGACCCACTCTGTTAAAGCTACTATTCCTGTCTCATCTTATACTGACTCCCCACCGATTTCCCACCCCTGTCTCAGGTTAAGCGACTTAGGGGTACCCCTTCTTCCTTGAACTGAACTCAGGGCAGGTTACATAAAATTCTGTCACGGCTACAGTTCAGAATAAATAGTAATTTCCAAAACAGATAAAGAGTTTAGAGGTTAAATTCAAGAGACAGGGTTTAATAATCAGTGGGACACGATAGGTTTTCAGAAACTTGTTGAGTACACACAGAGCAAGCCAGGGAAACCTACCCCACTTTGTGACCTGAACCTGCAGTCTTCAAACAGGTACATGGTTAATTTTTTTTTTAAAAAAACCCCTCTTTTGAACAGTATATGTATCTATAAACTCATGCAATTGTGCATGCTTTTGCCTGTGACCTCAAAATGACTGAGATTCACAATATATACACAAGACAATTATTTCAAGAGAACAACTAAAATGCTGATGTGGACACATATTAGAGCAAAAATAGGTCTCTTTTGTAGTTGTCAAAATTAGAAGACTCAAAACAGAGTATCAACTAAAAACAGAATAAAATGATAAATTTAATGTAGGGTTGCCAAATGGGCCTGGCCGCGGGGAATCCCCCACTTCAGAGCCCCGATTTCCGCCTCGGCGGAATCGGGGCCCGGGGGAACTCTGCCCCCGAAGCTGCGTCACCGCCACGTTGCTGACGTTGGGGGCGTGGCTGAGCTCACCGGGGGGGAACCATATGGTTCCCCCCCGACGAGCTTGGCCACACCCCCAACGTCAGCAACGTCGCACGTCACTTCCGGTGACGTCCTGCTGGCGCGCACGTGCGAAGGCTCCCCCGCTCCGAGGGGTAAGTGGATTTGGCAACCCTAATTTAATGTGATATAAAATATACACTGCCAAACAAAATGTGTCTGTATACAGAAACTGTTGTCCACTAACATTACAGAAAACAATTCACAGTGACTTTGGAGAGAGACAATCAGAGGTTATTAGCTGTTCTCAGAACTGTAATTTTGTTTTCAACTGAAGAAGGCAGCCCCCATTACACATTCACCTAATTAACTCCACGTTAATTTAGATTTTAGTAGAATTTATTAAAGATTTCCTGCTATCAACAACCCTGAATTACTGGAAAAATATGAGGTGGTGGGAGGGGTGGAAGGAAATGGAAGAAACTGTGGTCCATTTTAGCAAACAGATAATCAGAAGTATTTCAAATAGAAGTTGGGACGAGTTCTAACGCCACGCCATCAGTCCCTAGACTATCCTGTTAGTAAAATGAAAACTGTATTTCCATTGATAAAACAGCTTGCCTCTTCAGAGTTTACACTGTTTGTCCTAATTAAAAGTGTGAATTATTCATAATTCTAAAAACTTCAGATTTGCACAACCAGGCTATTTAGGGGTTTGGAATACCCCCAAACATAACCTAGCCATATACAGTCCAACTGTAAGGTCCATCTACTAATCATAATCTCAAACTAAAAATCCCATAACTCGCAATTCTCCGATATTCTGGGCTTTTGGGACTGCAAAAAGGCCAATAAAAGGCCTCATTAAAAGTCTGTCCAAACATTCACACTTTTGCACAGCTCCTACTTAAATCTAGTGACAGCAACAATGGACCCAGATGAAGAACAGAAGCCAGCCCTTACATTTCTCAACAATACATACCCCCTTCATCTGAAACCATAAAATGAAGAAGCCAAATTATCCTCTATGAAACCATCCAGCAAAGCTCCAGACATGGTGGGAGGAGGCATGTGACTGCCAGTGCCCAACTCACTGGCCAAGAAACTGTTCATTGACCATGCCTGGGAAGAGCTCGATCGGGAGAAGCAGGGACAAGATACGGCAAAAAAAAGCAAGGCTAAGAGAATCTATGAGGACTGGGAGGAAGACAGAAGGAGCAAAGAAGATGGGTGAAACCTATGGAAGATGTAAAAGACAGTGAGGAGAGCCAGAAGAGGGAAGGCACAGAGGAGACAGACAGAGAAGCAGCAAAGAAGGAGGGAGAGGAGAAAGAGAAGGGAAAGGAGGGGAGGAGACGGACGAGGCATAGGGGGAGCATCAGAGGCATGGGGAGACAAGCTGAAGAGGACAAACCACTATACTGCCAGATTGTAAAACCCTTCTTTAATAAAATGTGAATTGTGCAATGGCACTTGAGCAAGTCTGAGCGATCAATGGAAAGGAGTGGTGATGATCAACACACATTCCCACACGGGGCCAACAGAATCTTATTCTACACTCCCAACTTTTGCTGCTTCACATATCACCAGTTCAATCCTGGCTGTCTTGCCAAACTTGTTAACTTCCACTCTCCCAGCTCTCTCCATCTCCAGGATGAATGAACCCCACGAGACTTTCACTGCAGAACCTCAAATAGGATAAGCTCGTTTGCCTTCATTCTAAAAAGTTGCTGCTGCTATATTGCAAGTTCAATAAATTAATTTTTAAAAAAGCTTTCCAAAGAGAGGCTCTTTATTGCTAAGAAAACTTCCAAAGAGTTTTGCACAACTCCAGCTGAATTGCCTGGTTGGAGGCACATTGCCAAGCGTCTGTTACAGTGGAGATACTAATTCACTGCACAGAAGAGGAGGCATCTCATGGTTTCAGCTTGAGGCCTACCCGGTAAGCTACTCAAGGACTTCCTCCGCACAGCCCCCAGAGCCCTCTCCAGGAAAAGGTATTGAGTTAGGTCCTTTTTGCTGCTTCTCTAGAATGTATGCCTGAAGAGGCTTACGATAAAACCAGTGAAAAACAATGAAAACGGGGACAAGCAACATTACCTCCTGTGGGTGGTGAAGACTGGTATAAATACTAGCATCCCAGCTTGCTACTGTGTGTGGTCAACAAAGTAAAACATCCTGCCCACTGACTCCCAGGCTCCAGTTTCTACTCCAGGGCTGCAGGGCTGGGGGCTTATTTCCAGATCTGGTTCTCTGCATGGTTGATCTTGCACCTGACTCCATGTGTGCTAGAATTTATCAGCAGTTGGCTTTACTGAATTCAGTGTATGCCAAAGGAAGTGCTTTGGAATGGGCATGCTATAAACAACTATCAGGTACCTTAGTTGCTTGAGGAACTCGACATCAGAGTTGCTGTTAATGAGCTTGATGAACTCCTCATAAGAAGGGGCATATGTGTAGGCCCTCTTGTGATGTTCATTCACCTGTTCTCTGTACTCCATTTGAGTCAGCAGCATTTGATTGATGTAGTCAGGATCACTCAGTAACTCTACCACAGGCTTCAGCACTGCAGGTTTAATACACACACATGCACAAACTCATACAAAAACTATCACAGAAAATTGCATCAAATTCATTTTGGATTCAAATGAAATATTACAAGTTTTGTTCTCATTTAAACATCAAACTAACCCAGTTGCCAAATACCATAACCGCTGTATCTCAATATTTATTTGATAAGCCATCTTACAGACCAACCCCATTCATGTTTATTCACTGAACTCAGTAGGGACTACTCCCCTGTAAAAGTGCACATGACCGTAGACTTAAGTCATTTAAAACAGCCCAAGGCAGATGTAAAATAATTTTTAAAAGGTGGCTAGGGTTCTTGTAGTGTTTATCACTGCTGTAATTGGCAGTCGATTTATCCAGCATCCTAAACTGTGTCATAGGTGTGTAGGCACAGCAAAAAGAATGTGTTTTTCATTCCCATTAAACTCAATGAAAGTGAAATATCACTCTAATGCCTGATACTCTTCAAGTTCCACTCTCCCCATTCCTGCCCCTATGCATACATTTCATTTATATATCACCTTTAAGACCCAAAGCAACTTACATTGTTCTCCTCCTCTCCTTTTTAACCTCACAACAGCCCTGTAAGGTAGGTCAGGCTGAGAGTGTGTGACTGGCCTAAGGTCATCCAGCAAGCTTCCACGGCAGTGTGGGGATTTAAACCACAGTCTCCCATGTCCTAGCCTGACAGTCTAATCACTACAGAGTACTGGCTCTCTCCCTGTGCAGCTTCAGATGCTCCAGTTATGGGTTTAAGCTAACATGGCATCAGCAAGTCACTGCGACATATTTGTGTGACAGCGGCAAAAAAAGGATGAAACTATTTTGGAGGGACCAAGTAGGGTTAACCTCAATGCTCCCAAGTCCAGAATATACTTAAATGTACTTAACATTTCCTTTGATTCTTAAGATGACTGGAAGACATGGACCTTCACTATTTACACAAATACACACGGACTCCTATAACATTTTTAAAAATGTTCACCATGCATGGACTCTGATGATAAGGCAACTTGTATATTCCCCACAAAAAGACACATGAGCAAAACTGGTCTGACAAAATCCAGGGTACTATAGATTTGTCCTCGCTTCAACAAGCTGCAAAATCTTATTTTCAGGAAACCCTGCAGTATCTGACTTTACTGTGCAATGGACATCTTTGAACAATTCAATTCTGCATCAGTACTTTAAGAATTATGGCTCAGCGGGAGAAAACAGTTGTCTGAATACAGACAGGGCTGTAGCCAAAAACTCTGTTCTCCCGGCTGAAAGAGCTTCTTCCACTGCTGGAAAGCTCCAGTGTCAGTAGAACACAGTCACTCTACTCTGAGTCAACCCGTTACATGCAGCATATAGAGATTTACTGTGGCTTATTTATCTAAAACATTTCTACATTACAAAATTTATAACTATATTTCACCTTTCTGTCCAACTTTAAGCCTGACCTTAAAATCCAAAGCTAGCCATACCGTACATATAAAGGCCAGGTTTGTTATCATGAACACTGGATGAATGCAAATGCTAAAACATAATTACCTTTTGACGCAAGTATTTCTGCAAGGACTATACGCAAGCTGAGGGACTGGACATCCTTCGAGGGTAAAAGACAACACACCAGAATCTGAGAACATGCTTTCAGGAATCGTACTTCTTCATTAGTATCCTTCAAACACGGGTGCAGGAAAAATGGCCGTGGCTGCTCTTCCAATCTGGAATAGGTACCAAAAACTTAGTCTCGGTGCATCTTCTAGCTGCCATAAATTTCTAATTAATCAGCCCAGAAGAGAAAAGAAACTGTATACACAAAACGGTGTGAAAAAGTATAACTGAAGATGTGTTATCAGCAAAGCATATTTACCAATTGTAATCAGCCCTACATTTCCTTAGAGTAATCACCTACCTGCCTTCATTATTAAGCAAGCAAAAAAACCCCCACTTAAGTCAGAGCTGCCACATAAGCAGTGATGTGGGGCTGAAAATCTTCTGTTGCTATATTTTTCAATGAAAAATTTTCTGCCCCACATATGTAAACATCTGTTTACCTATAGTTGCTTAGCCTATTATACTGTAAATCAATCATGTTAGATGGGCTAAATGTGGGATATTGTCAGCAAGCTGCCAAATTGTTCTGTTTCTTTTGCTCATGCGCATCCCTCTCCCTACGTTCCTGCACATACCTTTCCTTGTGGCTAAATGCCGCTCTCTTGCAAGCTGCACTGAGTATCTTTCAAGGCCGCTGGAGGAGTCGCTTAGATCATTGCTTTATCTTTAGATGGGCCGAGCCGTGGGAAGCGTTTACCTGTTTTGCTTCGGGTGGCAGTTAATTCCCATGCCTAAGGGCGCGCGGGGGAACCATAGTAATTGGGTAACGCTCGTATGAATGTTCTATAACTGTCATGCCCCTCGTCACCCCCTCATTCCTAACGGTGTTCCTGTACATGCATCTTCAGCCTCAATAAAGTAAAACCTTTCTATAACTGTGTGCTTCGATTGTCACTGCGGGTCCTGACAGATATGAAGCACTGGCAAACCCCAGTGTTTGTAAATTGTGTATTTGCCTTCTTTTGCTTTGTTATTTAAGTTAGCTAAAATTATTTAATTATTTAAATTATTTTTTCCATTCAGCTTATCCCAGAAAACTCATATCACTGCACTTATTTCTGTAACCCTACAGTGTTATTTGAATTAAAATCTTTCACTTTGACCTAAACAGTGCAATGTCACACTAAGATGCTAATACATGTTTTCAACAACCATCTATTCAGTTTCTGAGCTATCAAATTAATTTGCTATGCAGTGTCTATATTACATATCCCTCCCCCAATTTTGATGGTATTCCAAACACAAATAATCTATCCCCATAAAAAAAAATCAGTGTTTTAACATTTAAAGGGACTGGAGTAAGCCTGGCCTGGGTACCTAGGTGGATTCATTATTTCCTATGGATGGTAGAGAGGCCAGATCTACTGCCCATATGCAATAATTGGCCCATTATTGCCTATGGGCAGTAGAGAGGCCAGGTCTACTCATAGAGAATAATGGGGCCATCACATCTTATAGGTAGAGCTGGCTTTGCTATCACCCATAGGAAATAATGGCTTCATTCTTTCCTATAGGTGGTAGACCTAGCCTGGGAGGCATAGTGTTTCCATAGAAAATAGTTGCCCTTTAAAATTTAAAAGGAGGGAGACACCACTAAACTACTGTTTGGTAAACCAGTTTCCTCTCTCTCCCTTTGGCTCATGGCCTTTGAGATCCCAAAGACTCCTTAAATTCTTGGAGATAAATTTTTGTTACAGAATTTGGGAGTGTTTTGGGTCATTTCAGATATCCTCAAGCCTACTTGAAACAACTAATTTTTGTTTCATTTTCAGCTCAGGTATATCTGAGCGCACACGGCTGCTTGGAGGCAGTGTTCCCTCTAAGCTGAGCTAGTGTGAGCTAGCTCACAGTTTTTTAGCCTCTGGTTCACACATTTTTGTCTTAGCTCAGGAAGGATGGCTCCAGAGCAAACTAATGTATGCAGTAGCTAAATCGCTCGCTCACAACTTTAATACCAGTAGCTTACAAAGTAGAATTTTTGCTCACAAGACTCCACAGCTTAGAGGGAACATTGCTTGGAGGTATAGTACTTTTGTTTTCACGTTTGTTCAGTTGGGGGTCATTTATACCCAAATAAGTGTACTGGTATTCTACTTAATTTAAACAAAAACATTAAACGTTTATGTGTGTTGGAATAATGTGGCAACCATCCTGGCTTTACCAAAACTTTACCAAAGTCTTTCCCAAAACTTCATAGCAAAGCAAGTTTGGAAAAGATTTGGAAAAAAGCTTGGGAAACCCCAGGAGGTGCACAAATGCACCACAGTGCTGTTGAGAAGCAGGAAAAAGCCTCCTTCCAAACAGTGCTGAACTCAGGACCAATAACTCATGTAGATTTCCTACAGTGAATGAATTCCACAATTACTTGCTGAATGAAAAAATTATACAGCTTTTCTTATTAAACACTTATTATTAAACACTTCTATATTGCTCTGGAAAGACAGGAAGTCTCCATCGATGGTTGAATTACTTATGATAAAATAGTTATAATCTCAATGATTGAGATTGTATCTTGGTCTTCCCCTCCATACCTTCAGTTCGACAATCTGATGCAGAGGTATCACTTCAAATACAAGCACCTCAAGAGATGCATTTAAAGGCTGTCTACTAGACCACAGATAATCTTAGAAAGTAGGGCAAGTACAAAAAAGCATTTTGCTCGGGAACATAAATAATAGTTCTTTCCAAAAGAACTTTGAAAAATAACAACTTTGGCCTCCTATTTCTCTAATTGCAGCCTTTCAAAAATATTGTGATTCTTCATCATTTTGATAACACAGTGGTGGTCTTAAGAGGGCATGTAATAAATCTGGAAGACATGTCCCCCCACAACATTTCTACAGAACATTCTGAAGTTTGCAATAAACTGCCCATAATTATTCAAGGGACAACATGTGGCGATACATCTCTTTTCTCACATTAGCTTGCAAACATCCATCCTTAAGAGCAAGTCTAAATTAAGCCGGGAATGCCAACAAATTGATCCAGCTTAGGTCAGTATATGTAAGCATGACAATTTATAAAGTCAGTTCTCCTTGGCAAATTCTTCAAGGGGTGCAGCCTAGAAATCAAGCTCGGTATTCCTAGTTTTTGTTTTCAGTATACTTGGAATATTTCTGGCAGGCAGTAATAACGCTACTTATTCTTTGCATGTATAATCTTCTCATGTTTTCTATACGTACTGACCTTGTTGCAAGGAATATTAAAGTAAAAATAGAAATGTAAGCAATAGTCTTGCTATTCTTTAGCCTAGTTAGCCATGTTTTGTGTGTGTGCGTCTTTAAAAGTTTAGTTTGCATGGCTGTGATATTCTGGAGTGCTGGAAGCAGGCAAGTGGTATGATTGGTGAGTGACAGAGAAGGGGAGGGGTTTTGGAATGGATGCTGTGTGGATGATTGGAATGTCTATCTGGTGTGTCTGTTAGGTATGACAGTTGATTAAGACAGTTAGTCAGTCAGCAGAGAGTGCTGTATAAAAGCAGTTAATATGAGAGTTGTCCTGAGGTCCCTGTGAGGGAAAGATTGGGTTCTGTGTAGTAAAAGAGTTAAGCAGTTTGTTCGTTTTAAGGTCTGAGAGAGAGAAGTCTTGTGTGTGTTATGAAAAGTTAAAGCATAAAGAAACAGTGACCATATATGGCCTAAGGAAAATATTGTTACAAAGTGACATGCCCTGATCCCTGTCAATAAGAGGGAAGAGTGTGTGAACATCAAATAAATCTACTTTTATTTAAGACACAAGTTCTGAATGAAATTCTTCCCAGGAAACACATAGTCCTTCAAAAGCCCAAACCCTGGGTCACAATACCAAAACCAGTAGGAAAAATATTAAAGGAAAAGGTCGGGAAAGCCTAAATTTCCCTGGTGGCAGCCAGATTACCCTGAGAGCAAACATAAAGAACATTTTAAAGTAAAACTAGACCTCCCCAAATAAGAGGTCGTCACAGTAAGCAATAGTCTTGCTATTCTTTAGCCTAGTTTTCAAGTAACTGAGGAGTTTTCCCACAATATTTTATCATCAACCCTTTAAAGTATCCATAGCAACCTAGTGACTTACAAATGATTATTCTCACAGTGCGGGTAAGCACTGGAGTGCCCCAGTCCAAAGAACGCCTGAAAATCCTGAAGGCACATGCTTTAAGTCATTACCTGAGACCAGGGGTGGCCAAACTTGCTTAACATAAGAGCCACATAGAATAAATGTCAGATGTTTGAGAGCCACAAAACATGAACAAATATCACACACACATTTTTATTGGGAAATATGCAAATTTGCTTTTTATTAAAATTAAATGAGACTGCCAAAAAAAAGAAAAAGGGTAAAAACAGGTATTGATAATGATATTTATTTGTTCAATGATATTTGTTTGCTAATGATATTTGTCTAAGAGAGAGAAAGAGGAGGAAAGAGGGAAAGATAGAGAAAAAACAAAGAAATAAACAAAAAAGCAAATAGTTGGGGAGAGCAGGGGAGGGAGGACGGACGGACGGACGGAAGGAAGGAAGGAAGGGGGAAAGAGAAAGGTGGAAAGAATGAAAGAGGTGGAAAGAAAGGAGAGAAACAAACAAAGCAAACAAATAGATGGGAGAAGGAGGGGGAGGGAGAAAGGAAGAGTGAGAGAAACGGAGCAAGCAAATAGATGGGGGAAGGAAGGAAGGGAGAAAGAGAGAAAGAAAGGAAAGGAGAAAGAGAGAGAGAAAGGTGAAAAAAGAAAGAGGTGGAAAGAAAGCAAATATATGGGGGAAGGAGGAAGGAAGGGGAAAAGAGAGAGATAGAAAGAAAGAAAGCAAATAAATGAGGAGGAAGGGAGGGAGAGGCAGAAAAAAAGCAACTTTAAATGTGTTCTCCAACCCCTTTCCACCCCCATGCCAGCTGGCTTGGCTTGGAGAGGGGATTGAAAGAAACAAATGCCTTCTCCAAGCTGGCGGGGGGGGGCTTGGAGAACACCCCACCTGAGACTATTACAAAATTAAATGTCTACATAGTAACAAGGAGGGGAAATGCTCACTACCAATCAGCATTACCCAATATTATCCATGTGGAAACGAAGGGAGACCTTTTACACATGCCAACATGTGTCTAGATCTGGAAACCACGAATACTGCTGAGCCTCTGAGAGTAACCTGGTGCTCTCTCTAATGTCCTTATGAGATGTTAAGCTATTACCTCCACCTATGTTAGATCTTGAGGTTAGATACAGCAATGACACACAAAAGCACTTCTTCATCACAAAAAGCAGCCTTTACTAGAGCCTAAATGAGAAACTGTGGGGTTCAGGGGCCTCCATGTCCTTGCCCTCAGTAACTCCCTTATCCATCACAGCCAGGGCTATTTTTGGGCAGAAACGCACAGGAACGGAGTTCCGGCTGGCTCCCGAGTTGGCAGGAACTAATTAGCATAATAGGCCACACCCAATAGCAGAAACTCATTAGGATTGGCTACATTAGGGGTCTGTGGCCTAACATGCAAAGGAGTTAAAAAAAGCCCTGGGTTTTGACAACAAACAAGGTAAACAGAATAAGAAGAGAAAGGTGGGTGTGGCTGGATGACCACACCTGGTAACATGGTGGTGTGGCCTAATGGGCTAATGAGCGGTGCTGTCAGGGTGTGGCCTAATATGCTAATGAGTTCTTGCTGTTGGGTGTGGCCTATTGTGCTAATGAGCGCCTGCTGGGCTTTTTCTACAAAAAGAGCCCTGCATCACACTCTTTTCTGTCCTGCTTGGGCTTGCAGAGCCTCAGAACTGGGGACAGGGTTTGCAGCACCTGGTACCTCAGCCCTTCCACTAAGTCTCTCTTGAACAGCCTGGGGACAGAACCTAGCCACCTCCTCCCTGGCTTACTTCTAGGCCCCTTCAGAAGTTAGGTCAGCAGGCTGCACATGCTCAGTCAATTCTCCTGAAGTCTCAGGAGAACTAGCAGTCACATGAGTCCTTAGGGGAACCTTTGGCTGCACTTAACAGCCTATTTTCCCTTCCCATTGCCCAGGCCAGGCTAAACTGCTAGCAGCTGTTGGCAGTGACTTAAGTGGGGCCTTAAAATGCCTATACTATGTGGCTGCTCTTCCAGCTCTTGTCTTGGCTGGTTTGGCAGCTGGAGGATACGGCTGAGCTGGGGCTTTAAAGGGCCCATTCTGTGTTTCTGCTATTGCAGGATTTCTCCTTGTTGCCAATGTCCTGGTGGGCTTCCCTGTTTCTGGCACTGGTGGGTTCCCAAGTGAGTGTCCTGTGGCTCTAGAGGAAGTCCAGGAGTAGTTCTCGAAATGAGGGTGGATCCACTCCAGGACAGAAGCTTTTCTAAGAGCCAGTTCCAAGCATGTTGCTGTTGTGGGCTTAATAGATTTGAACAATTAAAGATTTTAAAGGGTCCAGGTCCAAAGATACATAGGTTGGGTGCTCAGTCAAAATAGATGAACTTATTACTGCATTATATTATCATTTCATCCTTCTTTCAAAAAGGTTCCGAGCAGTGAAATAGGCTATACTTAGCAATAGCTGGTTCAAACTCACCTAGGCCTGCCAAATCTCGCCAAATCGCGGCGGGGGATCTGCATGTCTTCACAGAATCCTTGCCGTGGGGACAGCGAGACGCGTTGCACCGCAGTCGCCAGGACATGACGCTATGCGTCACTCTGGCAACGGGGCTGTTTGGAGCCCCGTTGCCAGAGCGACGCGTAGCATCAGATCCTGGCAACGGCGGGTGCAATGCGTCTCGCCGTCCCCGCGGCAAGGATTCTGTGAAGACATGCAGATCCCCCACCGCGACTTGGCAACTCTAAACTCACCTAATGAGCTTTATGGCTGAGAAGATATTTGAACCAAGGCCTCATGCCCAAATCTAAAACATTATTCATTACATCACAGTAGTTCATGTAACAGCCGAGGTACTAATTGACAAGGCTATTTTTGGGCAGGAACGCACAGGAACGGAGTTCCGGCTGGCTTCAGAGTTGGCCACGCCCACTACAGCCAAAACCTCTGTGTGCGCGGCTACAGAGGGAAGGCCTGGAAGGATCGGGGAGGCATTTAAATGCCTCCCCGTGCCTTCCCCATCCTGTCCAAGGGCCAGCTTGCCTGGGCTCCCTGCAGCCGCGGGGCACCCAGGCAAGCCAAGGGAAGGCATAAGGGTATGGCCTAATATGCTAATGTGCTGTGCTGTTAGGGGTATGGCTGAATATGCTAATGAGTTTCTGCTGTTGGGTGTGGCCTATTATGCTAATGCGTTCCTGCTGGGCTTTTTCTACAAAAAAAGCCCTGCTAATGGACAACATACAATTGCCAGCTTGGAAAAAACCCCACACTGGCCTTTATAATCTGTGCTGGGGACAGAGAACCAGATTTTGCAGGAGTATCCACTGACCCACCCTGCTCCCGTCCTACAAAGGTAACCACAGATACTCAGAATCTGCCACTTCCCTGGAACAGCCACCTATCAATTTAAAGCCTCAGGAGCATGGGGTGAGAGGGGAGACAGGCATCTTTGGGCTCCTTTCCTACAATGAAGTCGAGTCCCCAACAACCACCTAGATGCCAGCAATGCTGGGCATCACCAAAACCAGCTCCTGTGAAACAAGACAAACTGCTAAAGAACAAAGCGCTTAAAAAAATCTTTGCAAGGACTTCAGCTGCTAAAATGTTTTTAGGAACGATAAATATATATATATTTTGTGAGTTGACACATATATCAAAGGCTTCCAATACCTGGTGCAAGAGAAGAAGGCGATAGCATGCCATTCGAGCTTAAAAACACAGTGACAAAAATTGTTTCGTTTGTACCTCTCAGCAGGACAGGTTCTTTTTCTAACAACCTCATATGCACTTTCCCCATTTTTAATCAAGACAGTCTTGAATCAAACAGCAGAAAAGAGTAACAAAATCTATTTTTATTAAATGATGTACTGGAAAGGTACAAAACAGGAGTTTGTGCTGTCCTAAGCAGAGAGAAGAAGAAGAAGAGAAGAGATTGGATTTATACCCTGCCCTTCACTACCCAAAGGTGTCTCAGAGCGGCTTACAAACTCCTTTTCCTTCCCCTCCCCACAACAGACACCCTGTGAGGTAGGTGGGGCTGAGAGAACTCTTGACAGAAACTGCCCTTTTTCAAGAACAGCTGTGCCAGAGTAATGGCTTGCCCAAGGTCATCCAGCCAGGTGCAAGTGGAGGAGTGGGGAATCAAACCCGGTTCTCCCAGATTAGCGTCCGCACACTTAACCACTACACCAAACTGGCTCTCAGGGGCCTCCATGTCCCTAAGGCTCCCTTCCAAGCCCACTGACCTCAGTGAGCTTGCCTTTGCTTAGGATGGCACTGGTAGACAGGAGGACCATGTGACCTGTGGGCCTGGCTACCGCAAAGTCAGGCCTGCCTACCTCTCCAGACCTACTCTGCCTTCCGTACGCTACAGGCAAATGCAGGTTGGTGGTAACAGGGTGGCCCCTTTCATCTACGTTAAATTTGACTTGTCACATCACCTGCTACAAAGGTCAGCCACTGTTGCTATAGGTGCTATTTCTGTGCTGCCTCCAAAAGCAATCGTCACTGTTTCAATACAGCTCACACACAGGCACAAGGGAGAAAACCATTACAGACTCAACAGTGAATCAGAGGGTATGTTGTTACCTGGAGCTGGCCACTTTAAGGTCACAGAAGTGGGTGAGCAAAGCTTTCACTACATCGTGGCAGACAACTTTAACTACATCAATGTTACTGAGCCTATGTCGCAGCTGCTTGGCAACGTCCCAGAAGTCTTCAGAGAGCAGGTGGTACAGCTGTCCCTCATCTCGGCTGAGGTGTCCATACCAGGACAAAATGTAATCTCTGTAGGTGTAGTCAAATACTGAAACAAAGGGATCAACAAAGATGAAATGTCAGAATTCAGGAAAGAAGACAGAAAGAAAAAAAAAAGGGGGAAGAAAGAAAGAAAGATACCAGTTATGAAGAACTAGGGTCTGGAAAAGACTGCTCATTTTTATCTTTAGGGTACTGCATTTTCTCCCCTTTCTAAAAACAAAAAAGCCTGGCAAAACTTCAATACAAGAAAATAAATTCCAAAAGAAATTTCCAAAGATCAACAAGGAAGCCGGTAAGTGGATATGACTGGTCAGCCACCAGCATAGATGTCCCAAGTAATTACCAGTTACCACAGGTTGAAACTTTTTTTTTTCATTTTTGTAACAAATATTAATAGAAGAAGAGGAGGAGATGGATTTGTACCCCACCCTTCACTACCCAAAGGAGTCTCAGAGCGGCTTACAAACTCCTTTCCCTTCCCCTCCCCACAACAGACACCCTTGTGAGGTAGGTGGGGCTGAGAGAGCTCTGACAGACACTGTTCTTTTTCAAGAACAGCTGTGCCAGAACTATGGCTTGCCCAAGGTCATCCAGCAGGTGCAAGTGGAGGAGTGGGGAATCAAACCCGGTTCTCCCAGATTAGAGTCCGCGCACTTAACCACTACACCGAACTGGCTCTAATACAAATATGACACATCACACATTTTCTAAGTTTAATTTTACAAAGCCATCCACCATCCATAGCTCTAACATGCCTTCAGACAACAAGTTATTTACGCCACCCAAGGAGCTCAGGGTGGTATATATTATTCTCCCCTTCTCCATGTTATCCTCATAACAATTCTGGGAGCTAGGTTAGCCAGAGACACATTGACTGCCCCAAGATCACCCAGCAGGCTTCATGGCACAGTGGGAATTTTTAACTGGGGCTTCCCAGAGGTAGCCGTGTTGGTCTGAAGCAGCAGAACAAAGTTTGAGTCCAAAGTTTTATTTAAGGTATGATCTAATCCAGGGGCGTCGAATACATTTATTACAAGGGCCAGATCCGACATAAATGTAACTCTATCGATCCAGCCAATCTGTGTCATATAATGCCAGATACTGGAGAGACAACCTTTATAAAGAACATGGGCAAACCCAATTAACGATATTATTTTTTACTCAAAAGGCAAACATGCTTAAAACATTAACACTCTTATGGCATTCCGTTTATTAAACAGTGTCTGATAACTGACATCTCTTGCTCTGAATTACTGCATCAAAATCTGGAGCCTTTTGAAACATTTGCTCAGGGGAGTATACTGCTGGCAGGTGCTAGGGAAAGGTGCTCTGCTCTCCTTGGATTCTGCCCATCAGAGAAAGAAGGGCAGGGGGCAAGGCACCCAAAAGCACTGCAGTCATACCCTCACACACACACACTGTGTACAGGGCTCTTTTTGTAGAAACAGCCCAGCAGGAACTCATTAGCATAATAGGCCACACCCAACAGCAGGAACTCATTAGCATATTGGGCCACACCCCTGCCAGCACAGCTCATTAGCACATTAGGCCGCACCCCCATGTTACCAGAAGTGTGGTTATCCAGCCACACCCACCTTTTGCTTCTTATTCTGTTTACCTTGTTTGTTGTCAAAACTCAGGGCCTTTTTTTGTAGCAGGAACTCCTTTGCATGTTAGGCCACACACCTCTAATGTAGCCAATCCTAATGAGTTTCTGATGTTGGGTGTGGCCTATTACGCTAATGAGTTCCTGCTGGGCATGGCCAACTTGGGAGCCAGCCAGAACTCCGTTCCTGTGCGTTCCTGCCCAAAAATAGCCCTGCACACACATATATGATCTTTGCTCCTGGAAAAGGAAAAGTATTCCCCTCCCCTTTTTCTGGTGAAATTGGATTACAGCCACACAGCAACCACAGAGTGAATAATAACTATTATTAGGCGCAACCAAGTGTCACATAACAGAGGGCAAGCTTTTCACTACCTTACAGTTCTTAAGATGTACACTTCATAATCAACTCAAACATTTACAAAAAGCCACCCTTCAATACTGTAAACCATAGGATCAATAGAGGTTTTGCAGTCAAAATGTTGACTCTAATGATAGGAAATTACACCTGTCTATAACCGTGAACACTTTGCAACCCATGGAGCTCCTTAGAGCACAGTACCTCTGCTCCCTAGTCACTCGGCCTCCTTCACAACTAAAGTTACCTTTGGCATCTCTCCTCAGTAGCAGAGCTAACATCTCTTGGAAACAGAGATTAGTACTCATCACTTACACAGTGGCGTGCCAACTATTCAAAGCACTCCACATTTGGGGCTGCTTAAGGATGCATTATCGTAGTCAATCTGGGTTAAGTTTATGGCACAAGCAGGAAGCCATTCTTATTCCCCTGCTTGGGGCATCAGCATTTCCCCTCCTCTCCTTGAATCTTCTGTGGGGAAATTTAGGTAAAGGTTCCCTTGCTTGAAAGCCAGTCGAATCCGACTATAGGGTTGCGGTGCTCATCTCCGTTTCAAAGCCGAAGAGCCAGCGCTGTCCGAAGACGTTTCCGTGGTCATGTGGCCGGCATGACTAAACACCAAGGCGCACGGAACGCTGTTACCTTCCCACTGAAGTGGTACCTATTTATCTACTCGCAATTTCTTGCTTTCGAACTGCTAGGTTGGCAGGAGCTGGAACTAGAGACGGGAACTCACTCCGTCATGTGGCAACTCGGGTCTTGAACTGCTGAACTACCGACCTTCCACAGCCTGCAGTTCAGCGTCTTAACCACTTGCGCCACCGCAGCTCCTGTGGGGAAATTTACAGCACACTAAAATCTAACACACCATATTTTGTACCTGGAAAGATTCCTGAGTGCTTATGAATACTGTGACAGTCACTGCTGCGTAGAAGGCAAGTATCACAGCCTGCATCATCAGCATGATAAGCAATGCAAACCTCTCAATCTACTGATTTTGTGATAAAGTATTTTAATTCCATTTGTAAAAATTCTTTATAAAGGCTGAGTGCAAGCACAGAGCCCCAAACGACTCTGGCACAGTCTTTTCGAAGACCATTCTAGGCTATGAAATCTATTTTCCAATATGTATGCACAACGTGTGTATCACCACTCTGTACTTCTTTTGCAAATAAAGGTGCTTTGTTAATGTTGGATGTTACAGACTTTGGTTGAAACAATTAAACTAATTAAATGGATGATGTCTTTTTTGTCCATGGTGCTTTTTCTAGCAATTAACTGCTCAGTGGGGAGCTTACTGCAACAAGAATGGGACTGTATTCTTGTCAATGATTCTGAAGATAAAATTAAACTATTATATGTACCAGGATCTGGTTGGCTCCAGATTTCTACAAGTCACATCCTATCGCACTGTCGATTGGAAGTCCCTGTCAGAATCGGACTGCTGAATGGATCTTGTTTGTGCCCATGTGTGTTAACCGCGTATAGATGCCTTGTGCTGCTGTTGCAGACTCCTGCTTTTGTATACCTGCTTGGCTAATTGCTCCTGTGTAGTTTTTAAGCCGCCAGTCCTCCCTGACATTCCTGAGGGGTGGGCAGTGTGTGAATGTGCGAAAGGAGTTATAGCTAAGGCACCTCTCCTATTGTTCCTAAGCGCCCCCCCGTTGAGTTTACAGGCCCCAGCGGGAGCCGTGCCCTTGGGAAACACACTAAGATATATCGCTAGTTAGGTCGTATATTCTCTCATGACCTGTAGTTGCATTAGTGGGTGCTTGTGACGTGTGCATGAGGGGTGCACCCCATACCCTGAAATCTATCCCAATGCTTTTACCCGCCAGTTCTGGCAAAGGTGTTCACCTGACCAGAAGCCATACTTTACCAATAAACCTGCTAAAGGACTATTGCGTACTGAGTGGTTACTACAGGACCTGACAGTCCCCTCCCACTGAATGTATTGACCTAATTGACCCACCAGCAAATGAGGTAAATAAAATAAAGAATCCTCCCAATGCCAAACGCTGAGGAAGAGCCAGGAAAACCTACCACCATAAAGGACTGCTGCTCTTTCAACTGGGACCAGCCCTCTTACTAACTAATCCACAGCATACTTTTTTCAAACTGTTTGGTAAAGGCAGCACAAGAGTACAAGCTGGCTCCAATAGTTTCAAGGTTATCACACTTTTATCCCATTTCCCCCCCTCAAAGGAGCTCAGAGGTACATGGTTCTCCTCACTTCCATTTTATCCTCACAGCAATCCTGCGAGGTATGCTACGATGAAAGCAGCCCATAGTCATGGAGTGGGAATTTGAATCCAGCTCTCCAGAGTCCTAGTCCAGCCCTCTGGCCATTAAACTACACTGGCTTTATGGGATCAGTCTTTCAATATTAGTGAGCCTGTTGTCTGCAAATATGCAATTATCTGCTCCAACTCTATGGCATCCTATAAAATCAAAGCAAAATCTATGAGTAGCGAAGGAGGCGTTACTATGTGCTTGCCTATGATGAGAGCCTGTCTTCCTTCTTTTCCTGTTTAAAACATCTGCTTCAGCCATAACAGTACACAATGCAATCACACAAAAAGATATTCTAGTTCCAGTTGTACTACTTAATAGCACTAGGCGTTCTCACCCTTGTTTTCTAAACACCCCTTAGAATAGATCTAATACCTGGAGTAATTGCTTCTCATATAATAGCTGATTATGTTCAGAGTCTTAAATGCACTTAGGAGTCGCTCACCTTCTTTCAAAGCTTTATCCATGTTGTGAGAAATTACAACTCTTCTAGACTGGACAGATTCATGTGCACTTCCAGATAAAAGATTCTGAAAGAAAACATGTGCACACACTGTAAGAGATGGAGGAAAGATGCATATAAGAAGTCTTTAATCACCCGCTCTGCCTTTCAGAGACATAGCTAGCCACATTATTATAAACAGGATTTTTGCAACAAAGCAGGGCTGCCAAGTTTTGCTAAGGACCCTCCCTTTACAATCTTGATCAACCTTTTATAGCATGGGAACAATACAGGATTAAAAATTTACATACATTTAAAATTATTTAACATTTACAAACACATTATATAAAGCCAGTTTTTTCAACAACCGTTTAGGGAACTGTCTTTTTAAAATAATAAAAAATGCAACCAATAGCAGGTTCTTTCAGAACCACAGAACATGAGACAAGATGCCACCAAAAATTTGGTGATATCATTAGAAATAACATACAGCATTTTTGTTGCCAATAAAAAGTAAAAATACATGCCCAATAAATGTACATCAGGAAAGATATTCATTATTTCAGGGAAGCAAATGAAATGCCTCTCTATGCATCCCTGCAGTCTTATCTTGTTTCACAGAGAGAACAATCTTGGTCAGTTTGGCAGCCAAGGAGAAAATGAGGCTATGTTGACCCCAGCACTTCTACAGACAGGGACAGGCTGGATCCAGCAACCCAAAGACGCAAGGATTGCAGATCTTTCCTATGTTCTCCTCCCTCCTGCATCCATTTCTGATTCCAAGGAAGTTTATTTCTGGGTCTCAGCTTCCCTGTGCTGATGCAAAATCAGAAAAGGTGGAGTCATTCCCTTCCCCACTACAACCACCTGACCTGTGCGGCTACAAGTTCATCAGTGTCCCATGACCCCAGGAACAAAACTTCCCCTGGTCAGAAACAGCTGCTGACCAACACCTTCTGCTGATGGGTCACTAGATAACCTGTGTCACAAAATAGCTAGAGACCTACAGCTGACACTACTGTGTTATGACCCCCCCCCTTACAGATATGGTATATACTGCTAACTTTATCATGTTTATAGTGCATGCACATAACCTTTTCACCTTTATACTTTGGAGAACTATGACTTGTCTTCAGACAAGAAGTTGATGTCCGTCATGCACATAATCATTCCACACTCTTGATATTTTCAGCATTGAGAAAAACAAAAACCCTATCAACAATTTCTATAGCATGGGGGAAAGCGCTCATAGGCAGTCAAGAGCAAAGCCTCTGGACTGTCCACTAATCAATTTTTCAACTTCAGTGTATGGCTACAGGTCAAAAATTCAGTAGTGCATGCACCAATATCAAATGACTCTCATGTGCTTAATTTTCAATATTAAGAAAATTAATATTCTTCAGAAAGATCCACTTGTCTCAAGAAGCCCACTAATGTCAAATTTAAGTCCAGTAACTGAGAGTTAATGCTTCTAATAACATTCTATTTGGTCTTCAAGTTCAGTTTAAGAGCAAGACATTCAGTTTGTATTGAAGGCTCGCCTGAATAATAATATGGTAGATTTTCATTTGTAGAAAGTACACTCACACGCACACACACTGAGTATTTATATCTGACCACCTATAAAGTGGGTAACTGTCTCATTAATTTTTGTAGCAAAAGCCACAGAGTTCAATAAAAATTGGGACAGGCTATATTTTAGGCACCCCCCAAGTCTTGGGCACATCCTAGTTGCTTTTTAATTTTCTGAAAAGGAATGTTATCCCAATATCACAAACTGTTTGAGAGAGTCCCCTTGGACTCAAAAGTGATTTGATAGGCAAGATGGAGAGCTGCTGTTTCAGAAGCTCAAATCCAAAGCACTTCTGGGCATAAAGAACTAGTTTCATGGTTCCATGAATACCAACCTGGTTAATGTCAGTTTCAGATGGGTAGCAGTCAGTCTGCAGCCATAGAACAAGATTTCAGCCCAGAAGCATCATAAGCACCAACAAAACTTTCCAGGGTACAAACTTCCATGAGTCAAAGGTCACTTTGTCATGCCTAAAGTGGTGGGGCAGGGGCTGATAGCAGCAACTTGGCAGCTGAAGTGTGTGTTAATTCCATGATGTAAACCAATATTTTCCAGATCACCAGGGCCGGCTCGTGGTGTTTCTGCGCCCTAAGCGAGGCTGCCTTGTGGTGCAGATGCCAACCTCCCGGTGGGGCCTGAAGACCTCTGGAGCCAGCCACCCTTTTGCTACTGCCGCCACCGCCCCCCCCCCCCCAGCTGTCAGACCCAGCGAGCACGCCCACCATGTGGCTGATGACCCATCCAGGAACCGTTGTGCAAGTGACCCTGTTGGGTTTTGGGGGGGGGGGGGGGGGGAGGCACAGCTCGGCGCCCCATCCAGGGCCCAGCACTCTAGGCGAATGCCTAGTTCGCCTAGTGGGTGAGCTGGCCCTGCAGATCACTTAGGAAATTAAACAAACACATCTTGCCTAGAGTGAAGAAGCTAGAAAAATTCATCTGGGAAGGATTTAAGCGATAGAAAACTAACCATTGCCATATTTTTAATATTGAAAAAGACTCAGCCTGAAGCTCTGACTGCGAGTACTGCTCTTATATTTTATGGATAATAGATTTCCAGCAAAATCGCTGTTTCAGATTTCATTAAAATGTCTGGCAAATAGTTAACACACCTCTGAGCACATATTAAAAATGCGATTAGAACTCCCTTATATACTTTACCCTTTTAATACCATTAGGGCAATTAAAGAGTGGCATAAGGGTAGATTTGTCCACTTTCACTACATTTTTAGAAGTTTGTTGAAGTCTAACCCAGACTACTATATAGCTACTGACCTGGGTACTTATAGAAAGCAAGAATGGCAGCCGGGTAAAAAACATTTTACTGAAGTCGGTGGTGGGGTTTCTCAACACATATTAATAACACAGATATATATGGAGGAGGCAAACAGGCTAGTAACTTCTATGGGTATATATTTATAAAGTTGGTCTAATCTATTTTTAACTGCAACATGCAGTGAACCATAAAACTGTAGTTATTCAAAATTAATCTGGATATAAAGATGCCGTCTTCAGTAAGTGGTGCTAGACTATACAGAAGAGTTGAATTATTTTTAAAAACTATCTTGGACAATGAAGGAACATAATTCTTCCCAAGGTAACAATTCACAGAAACCTCACTCTCTGTACTTCACTGCTCCCCAGCATGGTGCAAATGAGACTAAAACAAAACAGCAGCATGCCAAAATGTTTTAAAGCCAAAATGCAAACCAATTCAGTTACAAAACTGGAGGTGGGGCAGAAGGAGTGAAGAGGGGTTTCCAAGAGCCTGTGGGGTTAGCAGTTTTGATGGTGCTCAAGATCAAAGGCTGCCCTGTGAAATGGAGGCCCTGGAAGCAGTCTTTTGAACTGGTTCCAAGGCTTTGGTGTGCGTGTTTTTGGGCAGTGGAGTTTATTTCTACTTTTGTTTGTGATTCATTGTTATGCCTTTAGAATCAATAGACAACATAGTCCACATCCTGGCCAAGTGACCAACTACACTCTGCTAGACAATCATAACATCAGTTTTTTTTAAAGAAGCACACAAATGCCTTGAAAAGCCAGGTTATTTTAAATGTCAACTATCAAATGGCAATACTTTCCAAAAACCCATAACATGTATCTATGTAATCTTAAACGGATATATACCCTTCTAAGCCAATTGATTCCAGTGGATTTAGAAGGGTGTTGACTCTGTTTATGAGCACTGTATGTCAAATAGCTGAAGTTGCCTGGAGATATTAGAGAATGATGCATGGAGGGGGAAAAAGAAAAAAACCCCAACATAATACCCCAATAAAGCAAGACGACAGCATTCCTCAGCTGTGTTACTTAAAAAGCTGGCAGCTGTATAAGTACATAAGAGGACAGAATAGCTGATAATTTAATTCCTCTGGCTGACCTTTCATCACCAGAATGGAAGACATTACACAAGGTTATGTTTTTACAAGTCATCAGGAAGTTATTCCCCTCAGACAATGATATCTAGAGGGAAGAGCCAAATTACAAGAAAGCATTCATGCCTTAGGATGGGGAGTCAAGACTTATGCTAGTATCTCCTACAAAGACAGGAAGTATCGGAAAACTGCTCAGTAGGCCTTACTTTAGAAGGAAACTGACCATTACCTGAAGTAAGATCATCAAACAATCAATTAAAGTGCACAACCCAAAAAGGACAAAACTATTGATCTCAGAGGATCTTTTTAACGAAGCTAAGCAACTGTAAAAATACTACTGAATAGTTTGCAGGCTAAACTTGCTTTAAATCTACAAAGGGGACCAGCAATTTAAAGGTACAACAATAATGGAAGAAATTGCTGTTAGGTTCACACAATAGCACTATATAGACAAAAATGAATAAATAAACTTGTTGAGATGACGTTCAATGATGTTTGTAATATCTATATTTTCAAGACAAAGGACGTCTGACACTGAAGATAGGTGATACGAACATCTCGAGTGGTAGTTCGTTTCGAGACACAACTCTTTTTCAACCACAATTCCTATCAAAAGCAGATGGAATACAATGAGCTCCTGAACAATATACATAGGCTATGATTGAATTAATATAGAATAAAGTTACATACAGATTCTCTGGTTGTCTTTTTGTGTACAGAGGTAGTATCAATCTTTTCCTGTAATATACAAAACAAGATATGAGAACAAAAGCAAGTTGCATAACTCAATCCCTATTGATGGTACATTCATATTACAAAACTTACCAACAACAGTTCCAACAGCCCATAGGCTAACAAGTTTATAATACAGCACGCAGGCTTACTAGTTTTCAGTCCGGACAACAAGTCTTACTGAGTACAAGCATTCATTTCCTTAAATAGGTGCAAAATGCAAACAAGGTAAATTGCTTGTGCATGCAAGGATGACCAACTTACCAGTACATATAACTTTAGCACAAATTAATAGATGCATCAGGCTAAGGACAAAACCACAAAACATATATACAGTGAATTCTCTAGTATTACATAGCATTATATTATAGTCAGTAGCCTTCTATAGTCAATCCCTATTAAGTGTACATA